TCCTCATGCATTGCAAAGGAAGAGGCCATACCAGAAAGCATCTTGTTTGAATCTCCCATCTGACAGAGGAGATACTGTGGCCAAAGAAGGAAAAGGATGTGCTCAAAATCAGAATTCCCTCTTCCACCAATGTCTGTACTATGCAATTCTGTGCTTCACATATGCACTTGAGGCTGAAGATGGTGACGTGTGCTGTTCTGGCTTCGTCTTGTCTCTTATGTCTGTGGACTGCTTTCCCTGTACTGAAGGTATAACCACCAGGTTTGCCCTGGTTTGGCCTAAACTACAACATAACAGACAGATATTTCCCTTATGTTTAATATATTCTTGTAAGTAAAGACATTATTGCCATGAATGACAAGTCTTCCTTGGAATATAATAAGCAGTTTCATAAAATTTCATTTAATGAATGACAGAGAAAAGAAATGACTATTCTTTTAATGGCATTTTGCACTATCTCAGTTGATGCCTGGTACCCATTAAAGAGAAGCTTTCGTATTTTCATCGCTACATAACGGCACTAACCTCAAATTAACAGAAGGCAATCCTGAGTAACACTTGGACTACCTGAAAACTTAGAACTTTTTTGGAAACTCAATGATTTGTCCTCCATACCAGATGTGAGCTAATATTTGCAGCATTACAGAGACATTATCATGGTAGCTTTCTCCCCAGACTGATGAAGTGGGTGGGGGCAGTACAAAGTTTCATCAAAAATGGCTGAAGAGAAGCACGCTCTGCCAAAGGAAGGTGAGCATCCAAGAGCCCGCAGCCTGATGGACCACAGGATTGCAGCACTGCCGGAGGAACAGTGCATTCACACCCTACTTCACCCGGTATCACAAGCCTGTCTCATCATCTTGCCTTACCACAAAATCAAGAACAGGAGGGAATGCAGGCTTAGGCATGACAGGCATGATCAGGCACATGCACGCTACAGTTCTAACTCTTTCAGAACACAGCATCTTTTTAAAGGAGATGGAAAGAAAAGAAAGCCTTTACCACAATTGTTTTAAATGAATAAATACCCCCACCAAAGAAAACTTCTCCGTCTAAGCAAAAAACCTTTCAGTCTTTTCCCGTCAGTGATATCCTGCTGGATTTTAGATAATTGGTTACTCTTCCAAATGGCTGCTAAAAATTTTAGAGATTTTAAAATCTAGGATCGAGTATCTGGCCAGATTCTCTGATATGTACAGTCACAGGCCCTGAACCCACATATATCTCGTGTGTAGCAGCCAGCATGGTACTAGTGTAATTTCCTTCCCAGTTCTGAATTCCTCCCACAGACCAAGTGGCATACTAGAGTTGGCTACAAACATAGGAAATATGGCTTGAGAAAACTATGCAGAATTTGGGAATTTTAACAGCTGCTGGGCAACAATATTTTGATACATTTTTTAAAGTGGTCTTAGAAATTCTAAAATGAGCAGGACTCTTTTCTGACCTCCGACAACATACTGGCAAACAGATGGATGAAATGCAACTTCTAATTTTTTTGAGAGATATTATTTCAATAAACAATTTAAGCCTTTTGCCAGACAAGCACAGCCCCTCCTCGCCAGGCAATGTGAGCACAGTAGTTTCTATTCGGCAATTACATATCACCCAAGTACTTTACCATCCACAGCGGAAGAAAATATCTCAAACGTAGCACCGGGAACAGGAGTCAGGCTCTTGGCTTGCAGCCAAGACAACCTCCCATGCTTCCACTAAGTGAATGAATGGCTGCGGGTCAGGAGGTGGTCCGTGTTTTTCCTAATGACACTCGCCAACCAGGCCCCCAAGCCCCTTTTCATTCTGCTCCGCTTTGCAGGGATTTCCAGCAAGGCAAGGAGAGGCCGCTATGACAGTCCAGCTCCTGGTGAGCATAAAGTGTCAGGGATGTCAAATACTGTTCTCCCAATAAGGGTGGCAACCCTGGCCCAATCACTTGCTGAAACCAATGTGTAAAATTACTGATGACAGTAATGATCCTGAGGATAACAACAACAGCTAACATATACTGGGTGTTCACTCCATGGTAATTACTAATCGGAAATACCTCGTCATGTTTTTGTTAAAGCCCCTGTGCATCAGGACACAGTCAACAGAGCAAGGGTTGTGACAGTACTGCAGTGAGATTCCTATTGTGCCACGAAAGAGCTCAATAACCTTGAGAAAGTCCTTCAACTAATTTGTACTTTATTCTCATGGGAATGCTTTTGTCCACTTTGTCCTTCTCCAAACGATAGTGCAAATTTATAGAGCAATACCAAGATAGCAACCCAAAAACACATCTGAAATGCACTTTCCACACAGGCTGTACTCCAAGGTCACACAGCTGATTCAGTGCTGTTCTAGAACTAAGGTAAAGGTATCCGAATGCCCAGCCAGCCAGCCAGCGCTGCTGTTTCCTTCAATTCTACAGAGCCCAGAAACCATCAGCTGGCATGAAGAGGCTGCCCTACAAGGGAACTCTGGAGGCAGACTCCCATCTTCCCAAGGTAAGCTCGCTACTAGCAGCAATCATTGCCAGTGCAGATCCTTAGCTGCTACAATTGCCCCTCTGCTGCACATGTGCACACTCACAACAGATCCACCCTCGACTCCCTCCCACACGAGTACCTCTTAGTTCTTACGGGTCATCAGAACTGCAAGCAAGGATCTGTCACCAACCTGGGAAATTCTGGAACCCTCAGGCTATGGCTATTCTTCAAAATGCCTATTTCTAGGTTGGCAGGAATGAATGAAATTAAAAAGCACCCTTCAATTAGCAGTGTGTGGCAAATTTTATTTCCTTTTTGTAAATGCCATAAAATCTAGTAACTGACTCTTGAAAACATGGTTCTTCTTCAATTAGACTAGGTGGCACTATAGTATCACCCTTTTAACAGCAAGAAAATCCTACTTCATTACAAATAATTTTCCTTCAGTATGGGATATCCAAGAGGCTTTGCAGGGTTCTGGTCAGCTCATGGAGAATGTCTGAACGAATCTGCCAAAGGATGATGGTGACCAAATAGATAACTCAGGTTACATTAATAATGTGTGTTTGTAGATGCCACTTCCTGACCCACATGTTCAAATTACTAAAGGCACATGTGTCCTGCAGAACTCCAAACAAGTCTGTGCCTTCCATGGCCACCACGACCTTATTTTTACTATTCTGCCACAGTCATAGCTATGGAATCAATTTTTCCCATAGAGATTTTTTAATCACACTATCCCTCAGCACCTACAAGCCCTGTCGACATGAGAGATTATTTTCAATATTGATGATAAATTGTTTGGGAACTCCTTAAACATCAGATTTTTTTTTTCAGTATGGAGATTGAACCCAGAGCCTTCTCACTGAGTTACATTCCCAGTCCTTTTGTTTTTATTCTGATATAGGCTCTTGCTAGGTTGCCCAGGATGGGTTTGAAATTGCAGTCCTACTACTTCAGCCTGCCAGAGTCCCAACAACAGAATTGTGTTGTGACAATAAGTTACACAATCCTGGTAATGGATTGATGTGGTCAACTTCCTGGGGCAAGGTTCTCTCAGGATGGAAAAGCAAATCTGTTAGTCTAGAAAGGAAATGAAAGTTCAAGAGTTCTCCAGAATTCTGGCATTTGAGAAAGGAAATGGAAGGAAGAGAAAGTGAGCAGGAGAGGCAGGCAATGAGGTTCCTTTTAAATGGTAATAATAACCAGAAAGTCAGAGGGCCCCTTCTTCTGCAGCTGGACAGAGGAAACCACAAGGACTTGCATCCTAAAGCTGCCTTCCAGGCAGCTCCTAGTCCAAGTCACTGAATGCCTCCACACAGGGGAGGGTGCAAAAGAGACCCAGGCAAGCAGCCACTGCAGCAGCAGCTTTGAAGATCCCTCTCTCCTTAAAGGGGAGGAGGGGGCAAGGCCATGTCCTTGCCCACTCAAAGACACCATTGAAAGGCTCCTTGGCAACCAAACCCACCTTGTTCACTCCTTACACTCCCTGACCCAGTCCAGGTTTGTTTTTAGGAAATCTGTGAAGCATTAGACCAGGTTGGAACACCGTCTGTCACCTGAAAATAACCACACTGGACCCTTCACAGCATTCCATGACCTCTAGCAACTAGACATTGCCATTGCGCTACAGGGAAGAAGATACCTTGCTGGTTTCCAGCTAGCAGGCTACTAGGGACTGTTCATAAATTAGCTTTTTCCATATCTTCCCCAGGCTCCCTGATACTTGGCATGGGGCACCCAGTGTTGAGGCTCCGCATCTTTGTTCATCAGGAGAGAGTCCAGGGCAGCGTCCCAGCACGCCCCTGAGCCCGCGGGGTGCCAGTCCCCGAGCTGGGAACAAAACCTCTCTCCAGGTGTGCACACAGAGGACCGAGAACAACCACTCGCCCAGGGAGAGCAGGGCAAAGGCAGAGGGAGGCAGTAAAAGTAGGGCAGGAGAAGAGAAATAGAAAAGATGAAAAGGAAGAAAAGCAAAAGAAAAGGGGGGCTTAGACACGGAAAGAGAAGGAAAGAGCGAGCAACCAAGAGCACACAAGATCTGGAAAACAAGAGGAAAAGAATTTTCTCGCTAAAAGAAAAAAAGGGAGAAGAGAATTCGGGCATAAGGGGAAAAGACAGCATGGAAAGGAGGCTTTGGGACGGAAGTGCACAAGAAAGGAGAGCAAAAGGACGAGGACCTTGGGGCGCTGCCTGCAGAGCACGGTTCCCAGTGCTAACGTGGTACTGGGGCCAGGCGGTGGCTGCGGCGGCCTGGTTGCTTGGCCCGCACGGATTCCCAACCACCAAGCCGACCCGTCTTCCCACACACCGAGGGCAGTCCCAGGCCAGAGTCAAAAGACTTTCGGAGGCCGCCACAGCACTGCAAAGGTGGGCACCTAACTCCTGCCTATCCGGGTGAGACCGCCTGAGAGCCACGGTGCGCGCCCGGCGCCAGATAGCCGGCGGGCGGCGCCTTCCCGCCCTCGGCCGGCCCAACCCCGGGTCGGTGCCGCGTTTCACCTGCCCGCTGGGCCGCGAAAGAACACACACCTGGAAGGTCTCAGTCTGGCGTCGCGCTTGCCGTCCACCATCGCGGGCACGCAGCTGGTGAGCTCGGTCCAGTCGGCGTGCAGCCCGCAGCTCCAGCCCGTGGAGAACCTGGAGAAGAGCCAGGTCTCCCGCTTACCCGGCCGGTGGCAAGTGCATTTCTTCTGACCCACGCGGCACTCGCAAGGCTGCTCCAGCTGGATGTTGCGCACCAGGTGGCGACCGAAAGTGGTGCCACCGGTCTTCTGGATGTGCAGGAACACGATCAGGTCATCGCCCTTGATGTCGAAGTCTACCTTGCGCAAGAGGTCGCCACGGCTGAAATTGTAGCGGGGCACGAACCTTGCGGAGCTCTCGTCCTCCGAGCGGTACGGGTCCGGCACCGGTGAGCTGAACGCCTGCAGGCGGAGGAGCTGGCATTCTGTCCCGGGGCACACGTATTGGAGCACGATCACGGCAAATAGGAAGAACATCACCAAAGCCAGCAGCAGCTTGTTGGATTTCTCATCCATGTTCCCGACGCTGGGGGAAACCCAAGCTCGTTACGTCAATCCCGCAGCTCAGCCCGAGCTCGCCGCGCGCCCGCACCGCCCCCTTCCCCCGGCGGCGCCCTTGCGCCCCTCTCCCCCTCCCCTGCGCACCGAGTACTCGGCGGTGGCGGTGGCGGTGGCGGTAGCGGCGGCCGCGGCGCCCTTCCCCGCTTTCTTCCCGGCAGGCTCAGCGCTGTGGCTTCTGCCGCAACCCCCATCCCGACTCTTTCCCGCTGGCCGCCGGCCCCTTCCCTCCGCCGAAGCCCTCTGAAGCCCCTTCGTAGGCTATTATACCCGCCTGACCCCCTCCAGTCCCCGTCGTCCGACTCCCCAACTCGGGTCCCCAGACGGGCCCCGCAGTACTCGCTCCACTCTCCATGGCTCCCATCGCGCTTCGCCCCTGGACTCCTCCGGGCTCCTCCGACCCCAACCCCCGGGCGCGCGCCGCTGCCTGCCTCACTTGCAGGCTCTCTCGCGTCCCGAAGCCCAGCTCCCGCGCGCACCCAGTTGCCCACCCGGGTGTTTTCCTCCAGGGAGCTCTGAGCAGGGGTTCGGAGTTCCTCTGCGGGAGGGAGCCCACAGGCAGCCCGACCTGCAAGCGGAGTCGCTGCGCTGCGGGCGCCTGTGGAACGGCAGGGCAGGGCAGGGAAGGACCCGAAGCGTGGTCACTTGCGCGCCGCGCTCGGTGGGCCAAGTCCCCGAGACCGGTCACCACCGGCTAGCTGAACTTTGCGCCCTTGCCTCCGCTCGCAGCTGCCGTTCCTCCCCTCATGTCCCCTGCGCGCCCTGGCGCAAGAGCGCGAGCCGCGCTTTCTAGAACCTACCTGGCCAGGGGGCCGAAAATCTTGGAGAAGATTGCACTGAGCACGTGCTTCAGCGAGTGGCCCAGGGCGGCCAGGCCCCGAGTGAGCAGGGCCCGGCAGAGGGAGCCCAGGTCCCAGCGTCGCCTGAGGTCGTTCATCCGCCTGCGGCAGCCTCGGGGCAGCAGCGCGAAGAGCGGGGCGCTCAAGGCTCCCGCCAGGGAGAAAGATGCCTTGATGGGCTCGTCCCGCAGCGGCCGAGAGTTGAATCCGTGAGACACACCCCTAGGAGGGCCCGCGCGGACTGAGGCTGCGACTGACCCGGGCTGGCTCGCTGCCAATTCGGCCTCTACTCTGGAATGCCGGCGGGGACAGGTGGTGCGGGCGGGCGCTCGGTGCTCCGGTTGCAGTGGCGGCCCGAGCGCCCGGGCTGCACACGCAGGCAGTGCCATTCCCCCCTTCAGGCAACTCAGGGTACTAAGGATCAGAAGCAAGCTTGAATTTATATAATAATGCCTCACGCCCAAGAGCTCGAACCACTTCAAGAGCAGAGGACCTAGGTTTTCTTTCTTCTGCCTTGGAGAGCGGAGGTCACTCCAGCGAGCGCATCACTCCACTTTGGCTCGTAATTTCAGCCTCCTCTAAAATAGCAGAGAAGCAAATTGGACCTTTCCTGTCTCTCTTTGCCAATTTCCATTCACGAACGGAAGCGGGGGCATTTTGTGAAAAGGTAAGTCAGCATGAAAAAGGAAGCATGCCCAAAAAACAGTGCAGGCAGGGAATCTGAGCATTTTCAAAGCAAACACTCATTCTCACTCCTCTCTTTTTTTCTGAATCTGCTGCGCCAAGCCCAGCCCTGCGGGAAGACTTCATTCGCAAGTGTTTATTGGATGAATGGATACAATATGTAACTACACACGGTGTTGGAGTGAAACCATCTATTCCTGGGTGATGTGACACACGAGGAAACCGAGGCCCAGAGAGGACTAAGGATGTGCCCAAGATCACACAACAGAGCCCTAGGGTTTGTTCCCAGAAAACCAGGCACTGTCCACCAGTTTCTCGATAAGATCACCACCTCTTTTTAATAAATAGGCATATATGTTATCAAGCGCTACCGTCCAAAAGGCTTTTCTCGGCTGCAGGACCAGGCATGCAGGGGTTAACAAGGAAACAGTGGATGTCCTTTCAGGACAAGGACCCTGGGAACTTAGGCTCAGGCTGTGCTCATGTGATTAGTCAGGGGAGTTTGCGGTACATCAGGACACTGGTGTTTTCTTAACTGAGTATGCACTCTCACCAGCCCCGCTGCCACTGCAGAAGGGGCACAGGGTGGCAGCAGTGTTTCAGAGTAGTGCAGTGACACTGTGAGCTGCATCTTGGGGTGGAGGTTTCCAGAAACAGGCCCTCCTAATATCTCCCTGCCTGTGCTCTGCTCCACCCCTGTCCTGGTCTTTCTGTACTTTGAAGCAGCAACCTAGGCACTGGGCAGGAACCCTGAGAAATATGTCACTTCTTTGCCGAGCATCCCTGCCGTAGTCACTTGCTCCTCCGGAGCCTCAGTTTCCTTTTCTGTAAAATGGGACCAACTAGGTTACTGTGAAATGACATGTTGAAACTTTGGGCAGCTCCAGATGCAAGACCAGTCCGGTTTACCTGCTGCTCTAGACTTCGGTGTGCCAAGTGACCCTAGCCCTTCTCAGGCCATTTTATAGCTGTGCCCCACACTGTTCGCTCCCTGGGATCCTCAGCTTTGGCTGGACTTCCGTGGGGCTACAAACCTAGTTGGGTCAGAGAGGAACTCTGTCCAGCTATAGACACAAACGTTAGTGGACTTCTCAGGAACCCACATTTCAGACATTGCAGGCATTGCCTGTGCTAAGGCTCCAGGGAATAATTTGATTAACTAGTGAAGTTGTGCTAAGGACCAGATGCAGCAACTTAAGAGGTAGAGTTGTTAGCTTCCCCAAGAACTCAAGCCTGGTGCCCACCCCCCTGGGCTTGTGGGACAGGACCTGTTGCCCCCCACCAAGGCAGGTAAGAAAGTGAGCCAAAGAGTGGCAAGCAAAGGGGTGGTCCAGAAGCTCAGCTGCCGCCCACCCCCAGCCTGCTGGACCACCCATAGTCAATCTCTTTAGCCTGCCCATAGGTGGCTCCCTTCATGGTGCCATAGAAGAGTCCCCCTCCACTTTCATACAATTACAGTGGCATTCAGTGGATCACAGAGAAACGCTTGTGAACCCATGTTTCACTCATTCAAGCCCTCAGCAACTAACAGGAATTTCTAGTGTAAAAGGGATTTTAGTTTATTAGAAATTGGGGAATGCCTTGGGTGGAGGGCACAGGAAGGTGATGAGCAATAGGAAAATCAGGATTTACTCATTTAAATTGTGAACAGCAACCTGTGCACAGGTGCATGTGTACTTACACATGCACACACACACTCAGTGTGACTTTCAGAGGAAGAGGCCAGTCAGGTTGATAGCTATGGAGCCAAAGGAGGGACAGGACAGAGCTGTAAAGCTCAGTATCTAAGATCTAATATATCGCTAAATCTCTAGTGGAAATACATACAAAAGCTCACTGGAGGATTTTGCACTTACAACACTACCTCCACCTCCCTCATGCTTGAGGACCAAATAGATGAAATTTTGTGCTAGAATTCCTGTGTCAGGGCTTTCGGAGGTGGAAGAAAACTTTTTGGGGGTAAGAGTTGGGGGGTCAGGGTGTTATGTGAGCTTCAGCACGGAGATCAGGGATCAGAGGATCCCTGGTTGGATGCAAGAAATTCTTCCTATGTGTGCCCAAGAGCCGTCTTCTCCTGAATCCAGGCCTAGGCATTGGGAGGATGCTCAGGAACCCTCTTGCAGTTCTGTACTGCCCCCCTGCTGCTCCCAAGAACTAGTTGGTGTCAGGAACGGATTAACAAAGGCCCAGATGCTCCAGAATTTGGCTTTTGCTGGGGAGATTGTGGATAGGTGGCAAAAGAAGAAGAAAATAGGCAGAATTGTCAGGACTTTGGTTTTCCATCTCCTTATTTGTAAGGCCAATCTGAATTCCAATGTGTATACATATTTGGGATTCAATGTTTGAGAAGTAAGTACTCTGCAGTCTGAGCAGGGCTTTTGGATGTCTCTACAGTGTGGTATGATTTTCATTATTAACCCAGCACCGTTACTTCCATGGTTTCCAACCAAAGGGTGATGATTCACAGAGCATAAGGTCAGCCTGGCTTGTACACTAAGCGGTTGCTTCCAGACACACATTTCCTTGCTGGAGTTTGGGACTACAGCAGGAGGTAGTTATACGAGCGTAGGCCTGGGAATTCACAGACCTGGGTTCATGTGTTGACGCTGACACCAAGACCATACATGGGAGAAGTCACTTACTTGCTCATTTTTCCTATTTGTAAGACTGTAATGTTGCTGTGGTGATTCAAAGCGCACTTTCCTGATCTGATCTTCCCACTCTCACTACCTGTCTTCCTCAAGGGCCAAAGGGCTGCTGACCTGGTGATACAAGGGAAGTAATATAACTCCAAGCCTTTTAGATGTCAGATACACTGAGTTCGCGTTCCCGAAAATTAAAGAATGAATTCTAAGGAACAACAGAGGTTAAGAGAAGGAAAAGCACATTGAGAAAAATAGCTCCTGAGAGACAGGAAGGGACCCAAAAGTAGGTTGCCAATGAGTCCACTTCTCCGAGGAAGTTTTATAGAACAAAATTACGAGTTGGGCACAAAATTACGAGGTGGGTACAATGTAGGTTAAAACTATGGTCAACTAATGAGATTACAAGTACAGCCACTTAGGTAATATTGATCCAATGGGGAAGTAGGTCATAAAGCAAGTGTACATGGAAAGAACAGGACCTCTTTGAGAAGGGGTGGATCAGGAGGTCCTGGTCACCCACCTGGGTGACACGTCTATCTAGATTTTGTTGGACCAGGTGATACCCATTATAGTATAATCTTCAATTTATTGCTTACCCCTCGGGGAGGCATGTAGGCCTGGCCATTCTGTCCTTATCATGAGGACTGGCCTTTGACAGATGCCCCTTTGGCCGCAGTTACAATGTTCTCATCTTCTGTACTGACTCCATCAATGGCCTATCCCTGTCTGACTGCTGTAATATTTTTACCTAACTTAGCTTCTATAATACTGGGGCTTACCCCAGGGAGAAAGACTGAGGCCTCATCCTCCATCAATTCTGCACCGTGTCACTGGGTGCCACCAGGCTGGCAGCATCTGGAATTGTTCTGGGCCTATATTATCACAATGACAGCAGGGTCCCCTGTTCAAATTAGAACAGAAATAGTGGAAATTTAATCATAAAAAAGTGTAACACTCTATATAGAGCAGAGAACACTAATACGCTGTCCCCTCATCCTGAGCATTCTCTTCAACCCTGTCTTCCAGCTGTCACTAATTTTTTGAAAACGTTCATACTCTCAATAATAGGCAATTTTTGTTACAAAGATTGAAGGCATGCAAACTATTGAGTCAATTCATTTCTGCTTGTATGTGTCTCTCTGAGCTGAAGGAATCACTGTTTAGCAATGCAAGCTTTAATGTTATAAACAGGTTGGGTGTGTCATACACATCGTCCTCAACAGTCATCTATTTCCCCCCAGACAAAACACTGAGTTTTATTTGTCTAGCCTTACAAAACCTGGGGCTCAAGGAATTGAAAGAGGAAGATAATGCTGGGGAGCTGTGTGGGCTAACAGAATGTGTGCTGTGATGGCAAGATAGACACTGGCATGAGGTTCAAGGTAGACTCAGCACTCTGAACAAACAGACCAATGGCTGTCCCTCTCTTGATGCGAAATCTCAACCGTTTCACTCACAGTGAAATTTTCACTTCTCATGGAGAGAGAATGGATGTGTTAGTTCATGCAGGGCTTTTAAAGCTGCAGTAAGCAAAGGCCTGGCAGCCATAGGCACCCGGTCAGACTCTGCTTCTGAGACAGAGTCTTCTCACTTTGTTGGAACTCAGTTTTCCCTCATAAAATATACTGACCAGGCACCACCACCACCAAAAAGCAGATTACAGTGTATAGGTTATGTTAGAGGGGAAGCCGATCTCAAATGAGCCTATTTTTCAGTATTAGGGATTGAACCCTGGGCCTTTACATTGAGCTCCATCCCCGGCCTTTTTTGAGTTTTTGTTTAGAGACAGGACCACACTAACTCTCTAGGTTTCCCAAGCTAGGCTTGAACTTGTGATCTTCTTGCTTCAATATCCCAGAGTTCTGAGACTCCAGGCAAGAGCAAACGTTTGCAAAGCATACCATGCTGGAGTTTAATCAGAGCTCCGTGAGCACTCTCAGAGCTTTAGTTTTCTAATCCACAAGGAGAGGCTAATGCTAGCTACCTCACCAGATTCTCATGTGAGTTACCTAAAATAATCTACTATGAACATTCCAAGTTCCTGGAAAACTAGATCTTCACTTAAGTATTCATTACTCTTCCCTTTTGACTCTGAATATTTTTGATTCCAGATCTTCATTTCATTGTCCACAGTAGTAACACACACAGATTTAATGATGGCTTTGTTCACATCCATTTTTTGTTGTTGTTTTTGTTTTCATTTGCTTCTTTGTAGTACTCAGGATTGAACACCTTGCTTTTTTTTTTATTAACAGTGCTGGGGATGGAACTCAGAGTCACACAATGTTAAACAAGTGCTCTACCCTAGAG